CCATTCATGTTACAAAGTTAATCCACCAGAAATGTGCGCTTACACGTATTTGATTGGATAGCAGTGCTTTATCAGATGATGTCGTGTTGCGGCAAAAGCTGAGCAGGCCTCAAGTCTTTAGATGGACAACTCTGTTTTTTTTGTTTGTTTGTTTGTTTTGGCAAAGCCCCCTGCGTTGATACAGACTGAGACGCTGACTCGGTTCAAATTAAAGTTTTTTACAAAGGGCTTAAAGATATACTACGCAGGATTTTCCTAAAAAAACAATGTATAGACTCAGACAGATGTAATCCTTCTCAGTCATAACTTATGACCCACTACAAGTGTGTGGCGGTGTATTTATCTGCAGACACCCTGCCGTCTACCCTTTTTTTCAACACACATTAATTAACATTTCTGTAAATGTGCCAGTGTTAGCCAGCTGGCTAATTTTCAACTGCAGTCCTTTGGCAAGATGTTTTGAAAATTCTTATTTTGCTGTGTTTGGGATGTTCCTGGGCAAAGGGGCAGCTGAGGTCGGGACTGTATAAAAAGGTAGTGACCAGGTGCCAGACCACAGGCAGGAACCATCCAAGAAGAAGCTACGAAAATCACGCACGCAGCAGGAAAAAAAAAAAAAAGAGCAAATATAGCGAGCTGAAATGTCAAGAGGACAAAGCTGAGGTTGGGTTTTATTTTAACTTCTGCTGGTGGTACTGTTTAGAAACAGCAGCTGACAGTTCCTGCGTAGTACACACTTAAGTTGGTGTGAATGCATCCTAAGCTTAAATTGAACAAGACTTTGATTTGTAAAATTCAAAATGTGTCTATCTTTCAAAAAAGATACTCAGTCTGACTGTAGACTCCACAGTTTTGTATTTCTGGCATCTCTCGCCTCTGAAGCTCGACACCAGCAGTGCTTTATGTAATCCAAATTTGTGAACTTGGCCGGTTTCTTCCCAGAGTAATAAATTTTACATAATGTCGTATCCTGATTTAAAGGGTGTGCAAATTATAATCTCACACTGTCTCTGTCTCTCTGGCTTTCTCACACGGTCTCTATTTTCCCTCCCTCTCTTCACACGCGCGCACACACCATCCCTCTATTATTGGAATACTGTCACGGAAACACACACTCTGCTGTAATATAATGCTGTAGTTTGATCCAGACCTCCCATTCATTTGTTTAGCTATAAAGGTCTATGAAGTTGATACGTGTTTACATATTTGTTCACCCCTTCACTCTTTTCCAGTAACTATGGCCGCTGGCTTGACTTGTATATATATGTGAGTGTGTGTGTGTGTGTGTGTGTGTGTGTGTGTGTGTGTGCACTCTCCCCATTGCTGAATTACACAACTCTTTCCACCCTGGGGCCTGAGAACTGGTCTGATGTGACCTGATGATTTTATTGCAGCAACAGTCCTTTTGAGGACTCTCTCTCTAACACACACACACACACACACACACACACACGCGTGCTCACTTTCCCTCTGTGTGTCTGTCTCTCACTTCCCCCTCTCAATTTTTTCTCTCCCTCCACATCTGTTAATCTGCTCAGGGAATAGCAGCAGACACAGTTTTCCAAACCTCTGTGCATTTACGTGTCATGCAATTCATCATTGGTAAGACTTGGACGAGCACACGTTCTGAGAAAGTCAGACTCCAGCCCCGAAACGGACCCTGAGCTCCAATCAGATTACGGCTCGCTCATCCAGTAGCCGGGAGCTGGAAATAGGTTTATTGCAGGTTTGGGGTTGAGGTGGTCAGCTTTGCCTCAGAAGGAGCAAACACTGTTCTTATCTGCATCTTCAAACCATTCTTGAGTGTCCGTCTGCGACAAATGAAAGTCCAGGCTCAGCACAAAGATGTAATGCAATTAAAGGACAGAGGCATGAGGAGATGAAATTATGTGCTGAGGTTCTTTTTGGATCCATTTAGGTGATGCAACTTCTGAATGATTCAACGGTGCCACCTTGGTAGAACCAAATACTGAATACTCAGTTTTAATGAGGATGTCATCACTGCAGCGTTCGTCTCTCACTCTGAGTGTTGTGCTGAACAATGTGGATAGCCGCTACGTAAGCCAAAATGACTCCTTGCACGAATACAGCGACCCAGGCCAAGCTGGTGCCTCTGTAAGGGAAGGAAGGCCTTGCCATTGTGAACCCCCTCATCCTGCTTCCATTACACCGACATGGGAAAAGATACTCTGGAAGAACCAGCTATATTATTTACTCTTACTGGGAGTGAACCCCAGTTTTGGTTGCATATACTGACTTGAAGAAGTAAACAGTGAAATGTAGTTGCACACCAGTTATGTGAAACTCTGAGAGGGCCTCGCTGGGTTTTATTACCGAGCGTTTCTAAAGGGACAAATGGTGGACTTAAAAGTCACTAAGTGGCATGACTTCTGCTGGCTTCTGCCGAAAGTTCAAAGTCAATCATGCATGGAGGACGGCTGCTCTTTACCGGTAATGTGTGTTTGTTAGTACAGGGCTGTCTGCAAAGCCATTAGAGCCACGACCCCTGTTTGTAGACCTCGTCATGCCCTCTGGTCTTTGTGTTTCCATCATGGTTCATCTCTGATTGATTGTGACAGGGAACAATAACGGGCACACACAGAAAGGGAATTCTCTCTGGCTACTTGTCAGTCCATATTAGCTCAAACCAGCGCCCTCCCAAATCTGTGTGACTACTTGCCAGTGCAGTGGAGAAGATGACATAAAAATGGACTGTATGCCACCACCCTCCATTATTAAAGGCTTTATAAGGCTTTATTGATTATTAAAAAGAACAGTAATGTTGTATAGACCAGTGGCTCCCAACTGGTCCAGCCACGGGCTCATGAGTTCAAGGTCCACACAGTTTAATACATTCAGCATCATACATGCGTTTGGCCATGTTGTTGATCTAGTTTTCTGTCTCTGTCAAGTCCCTGTCCGTTAATCACTCACTCTACAGCAGGAAACGTTACCTCAAAATAAAAACTCTGTGCCAGAAATTCACTGTACTTAAAAATAAAGTGTCCTTCACAAACTTGACATGTTTGTGAGTCACTTGCGGTCCATTCAGAACGGACCCACAACCCACTTTTGTGACCCACCATTTGGGAACTACTGGTATAGACCCATAATAAGCCATTAATAAGAACAACTTTTGGGTTTGGGTTTGGGGACCAGGCTGTTTCTCTCTTTGTCCAAGGCCACGTTTGGTGTTTTTCAACCTGGACTCTATTTTCTTATATTTTTCAGTCTATGTGACTAATAGAGACAACAATTTTTGAAATTGGTCCATTGTTGAGGAGAATGCCGCAGCCATAGAACAAGCTGCAATGTATGCGTTGGGGTAATGTCAGCTATGTCAATTTACATCCACTTAAAGTGCTTGTTTTTGCCACTGACAGGCTCATATTGTTATTATAAGTGTCTGACAACATTATGGAAAGGATCCCAACAGAGATAGATCTTTTTGTTAAAGAGCAAGGTACTTTTTGTTTAACTAGAAACAGCCACAAAATCACTATCGCCAATCCCACCAGACTCCCTTTAAATAAACAGTAATTTTATTATCTTAAAACACATTTAATCAAAAGTCAACAGAAACAAAATAGAACTTAGAAAAGCCATCTTGGTTCATGTGTCCACTGTTTCAACAACGACCAACTCTGGTTTGATTGAAATAAACCCTTAATTCACCCAGTTAGATGTGAAATATGCGGACTCTATACACACTAAAATTACTGTTTCTTCTGGCTTGGTGAAAGTAATTTTGAGGCTGTTTCTGGTTGAACAAAAAGGATCTTGGTCTTCCACAAAAAGATCTATCTCTGTAGGGATCCTTAAAATAACAATCTGAGCCTGTCAGTGGCAAAAACAAGCACTTTTAGTGGACGTTCATTGATGGTGCACAGTTGCCCATTAATGTTAAATTGGCTGTTCGACCACTGCCAGCTGCAGCACTCTTGCTCAATACCTTGACGAATTTCAAAAACTGTTGTTCCCATTAGTCACTTAGACACAATAACATGGGAAAATAGGGTCCAGGTTGAAAAATACTGAACTCCCCTTTAATAAAAGTGAGAAACATAAAGGTTCATGTGTTCCTTACTTTCAAAATAGGCTAACAAGTTTTCAGTTTTTAATGTTAGTAATTTATGAATAAACATGCAATGGATTTACTTTTATAATAAACCATTAATTCAGCTTAAATATTCCTAAGAAATAAAACATTTATTTTGGTCCAGATGCTCTGCAACTCTTTCCAAAGGCCAAAGAGTCAATCACAGCGGTCGTCCTGACGAATTAAATGGTGTAATGAAAGTGGCACCAAATGTGAAATATGTTTCTCAGATTTATGTGTGATTTATACAAACCATTTTATGAACAATAAGAAATTAAAGAGATGTCTGCACATTAATATGCACTGAAAATAAGAGTAATTGCCTTTTGCCTGGGAAAGCTGTTAAGCAACAATCCCAGAGAAAGAGAAGTTGAATTTATTACCCTGATAGAAAAAAAGGCCTCTGCATGCGCCTGCAGGAAACAGGTGGGACTGGTGAGATTCAAGCAAGAAAAATTATGTTCATGTGGAACCCAAACATTATGAGAAAATTTTAAATGGCATTTCAACATGGCAGACAGGAGGACCAGTAGGTAAATTCATCATTTCCTAATTTGGAGTTAAATGATTTCACAGATCTATTACGTTTGATTATTTAATAAATGTAGTAAATGCAAAGCTGGAGTGATTCTTGAGATTTAAAAAGTGCTCATACAGGTTTTTTTATGTTGTGTTTTTAATAACAATCATGATCAACAGGTAAATCGAACAATGTAACTACCAAAATTATTACCTAAATGTCACCTAAAGGCAAGAGGACACTGACTGGGTGACTGTCATACAGTACAGGGATTCAGAATCGTTCTCCTGGCTCAGAGAAACTGAGGTCTAACTGTACATCCAGCCACTGTCATGTAATGACTTTTTCCCCTCCCTCTTTTTTTCTTTTTTGTTCCATTAGGGCTTCACATTGTAAGAGAGCACCAAAACAAACAGAGACGGAGCGGAGGGAATGAAAGACTGCAGTGTTTTTGGAAATGATACAGTCTTGACTACACATGCGATTTCTTGCCAGCTGGCTGGAGTGATCGGTGACAGGTGAGTTGATAGGAGAGTACGATTTTAAGAGAAGTAAACAGCTGCATTTTATCAACGGTTATTCAGTTAACCGCCAAGAATATGTTTGACTGGTTACACATGTCAGTCCAGAGGTTAATTTTGCTGCTCCTCAGTTAACTGCACTGCGCACCACCCAGGTCTGGTGGGAGTTAGCTGTAGTGGCAATGGTCATTCAGTGATTACCACTAGTAGTGCCATCCCAACCCAACAGTGTTGCTAAGGAAACATTGTACCCCCCTCCTGTTTTTCCCCCAGGTCGCTCCAGTGAGTAAGCGGCTCAGTTTTGAGCTGAAAACCCCATTTAGCATCATTAACTAGCCCTGTTTGCACTGTTAGCAATGTTAGCACAGCCAGTGGTGTTAGCATTGCTAAACATTCTCTATTATTGCTGGTAGGGATGTCAATGGTTAACTGTTAATCAGTTATGCCGGATTTATACCTCTGCGTCGAATCAATGACACACCTAGAAACAATAAATTGTAACGACAATAAAGCCTCCACAAAAATAGCATTTTAAGTCTTGGGATTTATCCTGGTTTCATATGAGCAGAGGTAATCTTTGCTCATTGCTAGGCTAATTTATACAGCTGAATTTCTTCAGTTTACTGCACTGCGAACCCCAAGGGTTGGGTGGGAGCTAGCTATAGCAGCAACACTTACTCAGCCATTACCATTAGCAGCGCCTTCCCGACCCAACAGCATTGCTATGGGGACATTGTGCCCACCCTCCAGTTTTCCCCCCATGTCCCTCCAGTGAGTAAGCGGCTTAATTATGAGCTAAAAAAACATTTAGCATTGATAACTAGCTCTGTTAGCACCATTAGCAGTGTCAGCATGGCTAGTGGTGCTAGCATGGCTAGACACTACCTGTTATTGTTGATAGAAATGTCAAAAGTTAACCATTGATTGGTTAACCGTTAATTAGTTAGCTGCAAAGAATATTTTTTGACCAATTAGGCACATCAGTCTATAGGTTAATTTCGCTGCTCTTCAGTTTACTACACTGTGCCCCACCAGGGGTTTGGTGGGAACTAGCTATAGCAGCAACGCTTATTCAGCGACTATCATCAGTAGCCCCATCCTGACCCAACAGCGTTACTATGGAAACATTGTGCCCACCCTCCAGTTTGTCCCCAGGTTGCTCCAGTGAGTAAGTGGCTCCCTTTTAGCTGAAAATCCTATTAAGCATTGTGAACTAGCTCTGTTAGCACCGTTAGCATGGTCAGCCCAGCTAGTGGTGCTAACATGGCTAGACATTTCATATTATTGTTACTACCTACCTGTTATTCCTGGTATGGATGTTTATGGTTAACCACAAAGAATATTTTTTTGACCAGTCACGCATATCGGCCTGTAGGTTAATTTTGCTGCTCTTCAGCTTACTACACTGCGCACCAGGGCTTTGGTGGGAACTAGCTAAAGCAGCAACGATCGATTGACGATTACCACTGGTAGTGCCATCCCAACCAAACAGCATCGCTATTGAAACAGTATTGATTTCTCTGGTGTGTAACCGGCTTAATTTTGACACGAAAAGCCTTTTTAGCATTGTTAACTACTGTTAGCTCTGTTAGCACCGTTAGCAGTCTTAGCACAGCTAGTGGCGCTGACATAAATGACAATGCTAAAGGGCTTTGTGGCTCAAAATGAAGCCGCTTACTGAAGGTTTTGTGGGAAAGCAAAGGTCAGGCACCATGTTTTCACATTTACCAGCAGTTACCACCGAATGCTATAGGTCCCACCCATCTGAGGTGGTGCACAGTGCACAGTGGCTGAAGCTAATGTTAGCTCACCATTGGAGATCGAGGGTGGGCAGTCGGCAATATATTTCTGGATGTTAACACAGCCAGCTGTCTGTCAGCAAAGCCAACATAACAGAAAATAAAAGGCAACACATTTAAAACACAGAACATTAAAATATCACCACCTCTTAGTGGATAGCGATTTGAAATGTGGTGCTAAAGCTCACTTTGTCAGTGGTGTACCAGACTTTAAGGATAGGCCTCTTTTATTTACTTTATTTTACTTAATTTTGTTTTTTGTTTTTCTTTCTTAAAAATTAACCAGTCAGTACCGGTTAATGGGTGTCAGGCTTTCAAAAGCAAAATAACCAATACGGCCATGCCTAATTGCTGGAGAAAAGTGCTCTGATTGAACTTTCTGTGAATAGTCACCTTTTAATACAATAAGACTTCAGTCAAACATACACTGGATCACATACAACAGGTCAAAGTCATTTGTACATGGACAAAAAGCTGCATATTCTTTCTAGATCACAAGGAAATGTAACAGTACCCTTAGTTTAATATAAAAGTGTTTCCACCGATGGAGATACACGTCAATTTTTGTCCCGGTAAGTGAAACAATCACTATATGACAAGTTGCATAACAGACCAAATCTGCTATTAATGTAAAAGAAATCCCATAAAAACCTGTTGCGTAACACTTGTTTTTTTTTTCCAGTATATTCTTTGATGTCCCAGAAATAATTTGAACCTGTTAGAGATGAGAACTTCCAGTGAATGGCAGTGTGCTCATGGCTTGTTTCCATCACAGTTCTTTGCTTCCATACAGGTCCCCTCCTCCTCTTCTTCTTCTTCTTCCATCCATTCTAATAGATGCACCGCAAAAAAAAAAAAAAAAAAAAAAAAAAAGGCCATTGCTGCTGGCTGGCCAAAAAGAAAAGCTTGGCTCAACTTCTTTGTTCATTCACTTTCCATTGCAAATCCAGCAGGCATTCTCTCAGCTCTCCTTTTCCCTGACCACAGCTATGGCTTTGGATACAGCAGCGAGTCTGTCCTTTCTCCTTTTGTGTTTGAAGATAATGTCCACTGTTTGAAGGGAAGGGAACTTAAGGCAAAGGTAAAATCCAGCCTGAAAGAACTCTTCAACCACAATCTATATTTGTGACTATTAATATTATCATCCTAAGGCTAGAGACAGAAAAGCTGCTCTACTGACAATGTAGAGACTATAACTTTGTGGAATATTTGCTTGAACTCTCAAGCAGAAAACACACCACAAAATATGTTCATTCATTGTCCATGAAGCAGCTCCCATTTTGTCACAGATAGATTTGTACAGGGCTCTCTGTAATCTAGCTATGGGAGTGTGTTGTCCACCTTTACAAATCTAGAAGAAATTATTATATGAAATTTGTTTTGGGCTTTTTAAAATGAAAATAACTACCTGTCATCCAGAGTGGGAGAGGGGAAAATGATGACCTCAAGTTTTTAAGAAAATCTGCATCCTCAAAAAAAGGTGTGACCTCCAGAGTGGTGTTCAGATCTAAGCCATGAGGCCACAGGGTCTTTGTTTACAGGGTCTTTATTTGTCACAGCTAAGAGTCCAAAAGTCAACGAACATGGGTTTTTCGTCAGTACCGAGTAAAATCCTGCCGTGCTGCCTCGCCTTTCACGTCCACTCAGCTACACTTGCAAGACTTGACGATCATGTTGGAGAGCTGCTCTACTTTGGGGGTCCGTCCAGAGTAGTAGAGTATAGTGAGGGGCTCCAGGTCTTGGGGGACGCAGCAGGGAGAGGCCGATGCCTCCGGATTCAGAGTGTTGTACAGGCTCAGCAGCTATTGGAAAGCAGACAGGAGAGATTGTATTATAGTCAGTGCCTAATGTCATTGTTCAGTTTAGTCAAAGCATACAGTTTGAAAACGAGGCGCTGCTCCAACTAGAAAACAATATTTTGATGCATTGGATGTGCTGAATGTGCATATTAAGGCAGTACAGGAGGAGGTGCACATTAATAATCCTCCAGGACTGTAACATGCTCATGTTTAACCCAAACAGTGTGTCATGTGACTGCAGTTGGTTCAGATCGAGGTCAGAACACGTTCTCACCACAAATGAACCGCACCAGAGTTCATTTGTAACTGGACCAAGACCACCTCTTCAAGAAGGTCTTTGTCCGGTTGTTTTGGTGCACACCTGAGTGTGATTGCTGTGTTCACACCTGCCCAAACGAACCGCACTTGGGAGGTAAATGAACTGGAGTTCTATTGAACCAAACCAAACAGGGCAGGTGTGAAAGCACCCTAGGATTCCACTATTTTTCTGAATATGACAGTACTTTAGATTTGATATGGGTCATGCAGCAGCATATTCTGTTTGGCCTTCTTCCAAATGAAGCATTTTTCTAATTAAGACCTGTGGGATATGCCGATATTATTCGGGTTTTAGGAGCTTTCTTAGCAAATGTAGGCTTTACATCACATTCAGAAAATGTTCCTCAACTGGGGTTTTTAGTGCACTTTGCAACACATGGCCTTTTGGCTGTTTAAGGGTTGGCTCTGTGCGTTGTCGTGGATATGTTGTGCACAAACCAAATAGCCAATAGTTTGCAAGGCTGTGGGGTAGAGATGTATGCTACAAAGAAAAGCCAACATTTCTGGTTGAAAGGAGAAGCACACCTACTTTTAAACATTATGACAGACTTGGATATCAACAGGTTTCTGGATATGCGCAAATATCGCAATGACAACCTTCAAGAAGGTGGTTGAAGGAATGAAAGAGAGAGGCTGTGTTCACATGGATGAATAAGTCTGCCATTGGTGGAAAACTTTGAAAAAATGTGTCTGTGCAAAGAAACAAAAAAAAAAAGGCTCCAGGCATTCCACTTTTCCATATTTTGATAAACAACATGTTAGAGCATGTTAATTGGAGTATGTATGGCTGCTTGTAAACAGGAATGTTAGTGGATCATTTGCTTTCATTAGCCATGTAAACAGCTTAATAAGAATATTGTCTTTTTCTGAATGAGGGCAAATCCAGAATATTTTGTGCATGTAAATGTTGTAAGTGTAATACTGAAGCACATCATTGAGAACTCATCATGGAGACTTGGTAATGACCAAAGAGGAGATTAAGCTCTACACAATGCTATCAGCTCATCTAAAAGTGTTTGCTAGACACACAGTGGTGTTCAAACTCAACCATAAATATAAGGGGTTCAGAAACCAGAACAAA